TTAACTATTATACGTGATGTACTAATAATGGCTGGAGACGGCTTAAATGGGTACCCATTTAAGCCGTCTCCAGCCATTATTAGTCTCAAAGTGGGTTCCTCGTCATCGAATACGTGATGTACGTTTTTGGGGGTGGTTGATGAAAGTGTTCCAAAACACGACATTAATTTCTTGACGACCTAATAGTAATAGTATTTAAACTTAGCTACATCATGAATTGAGAGCACAAGTTTAAAAACACTGAAACACTGATATAGCACACACTCTCCCACCTAGTCTTATTTTACAAAGTTCGTAAAATCCTACAGTTACAAGTTTAGATCAGTGTTAATTTTAAGTGTTTGCGCTTCACGGAAGTCTAATAAATGTTGCAGTATACAAGGTTAGGTTAAAAATATATTATGTGGAAGTTATATATTAGACGCACGCTTGTTCTGTTTAAGTCTCATTACGCTTCATCATTGTAGGTAGCTGTTTCTGTAAAAGTTGCAAATCTTGATATAAAGCTGACTGTTTATCTATTACTATAAATACACATGCTATGACAATACATCATTATTACGTGTATGAAATACTAAAACTGCACAGTTCACATATCTGTAATATTTCTTCTCAAGCGCTCATTCTAAAACTATTTTAATAAAATACGTCAGCCAATTAAAAATATAAGTTTTAAAATGAATTCTTAACCAGCAGTGAGATATACTTATATTTCAAGCGTGAATTTAAAATATTATACGCAGATGCCTAAGTCCCACATTCGTCGTAAAAATTACGCTAGATCAGATGACGAGGACTCCACTTTTAGAAAATAAAGTTTGGAGACGGCTTGAATGAGTAATGAAATAAACTTTATTACAACTAACAAACGTTTCGACAAGATTTTGTCATCATCAAATACAGATCTGTTTTTTATATTTCTACATGTCACTGCCCATGAAGACCTTTCGACTAATATCACAGTTCCTAAGTAATGAATTGTGGACGAAAGATAGATCGAAAATACTACTTTTTTACACGCTTTCCAAATCAAAGTCTAATAGACTAATTAAAAGGAATGTGTATTTATTGAGGTTTTTATCACGTGTATTAAGCTTATTGGTTCCAATGTTTCGCAAACTATCGGCGTTTAACGCCTTAACATTAAATATTTCGTAATGTTTGTAAATAGCATTTCACGTAGAATTTTGGCTGCCATCACAGTTCATCTCAGCTAACGAGTTCTGGCACAGAACGAAACCTGAACACTGATATGTGGCAGGCAAAAGATATAGCTGAAATACTGTGTTTACAGATCTGTACTTTGAAATCCGTTCACAATAAAAACAAATGAAGAAAATATTTCCGTTCGAGCATAAATTTTATCACAAGTATTTGTCTTATCAACTGTTTCGTTAGCTTTTGGCGTTCAGACACCGTAGCATTAATTGTCTAATCTGCTTAATCATCTTCATTCAATTTATACGAATACAACCCCAAAAGAATTAAATAAACCTATGAACGGTGGTCATTTGTTCACAAAAATAATGAATCATGTTTGGTTATTTACTCTGCAGAAATAATAAACTATGTAACATAACTTATTACGTAATTATCTGTGAAAATTACTGTTGCCTTTATACAAAAAAGCAACAACAACTTTGGCCAAACGTGAACTTTAAAGAAGAAACCAACCTATTACTAATACCTAAACATGTTTTACAAATAATTAACAATTATACAATTGACTTTATGAAGAATAAAAACCTTACAAGTTGACAAATCCTATAATAATTTATAAATAAGTATTCCTGGTAATTAACATAGTCAGTGATTAAAAACAGTCAAAGTAATAATGATATAATTAAATGTCATAGCTTACTTATTAGGAGAAGCTCCGTAGGTGGACCTAGGGATCCGCTGGGAACGAGTAGAAATTTTATGTCCGTCATATGTTGAAAAAGGAGAAGTATGTGTACCTTCCGGAAATTTTTCGTACTCTCCAAACATCCTCTTAACTAGAGATTTGTTTTCGTCAATAAACTTATCAATTCTTTCACTGCGAAAAAATTGTACTTATTTAATCTCAACATATAGCTTCGCCCATAAATGGCTTATAGACAGCAATGAAATTCTTGAAATGTACAAGGTAAGCTGTTAAGGTGCTATTTTAAAATAAAACAACAACGTAATATTCATATAAGTCAACAAGTTGAAATGTAAATCATATTGTCCTATTCAATAAGAAAATAACCTAGGTCTTATGATTCTCTATATTTGACCCCCCCCCTCCCCGGTGGGGTAGCGGTAAGTTTATAAACTTATAACGCTGAAACTGCTGTTCACACATAAGGATAATGTCTTTCGAAAAATTTAATCCCAAGATCGATTTAAAAAAATGTCAAGAAATAAGAGGAGAAGTACAAAATGTGCACAAACAATATGTAATAGAACTCTTCGAACATGTTACAAAGAAGTGATCCGTCTGGACGAATAACACTAAAAAAAAAGACTAATATTATATGTATACAGAGAAAAGCTTTTAGAAGATCATAGAAGTTAAAATTTAAAAAAAAATCAAATGTGCTATGGATTGAAGTAACAAAGACTGAGCTTTTTGGCAACACTAACAAAGTTTCTGTGTTGAAATACAGACATGGTGGAGGTGCTCTAAAGGCGTAGGAGTGAGAGATAGTGTCAAAATAGAAAGAAGGAGCAGTATCACAGCATCTTGGTTAACATCTCGTTACACCTTGATCTTGATCTTGAATTGATAATAATCAACAACATACTAGCCAAATCATTAAGAGTTATGTCCAAAGTCACGATGCTAATTCAACATACAATTTGTTGAATTTCTTAAAAAATAAGTGTTTGCAAAATGTAAGCTAACTAATTTTCGACAATTTTAAAATTTTATATAGCAAAAATAGAATGAAATCCTAGATTACAGTCTGAACCAACTAGTGCTACTCATACCTGATCGATATCGATAGGTGAGGAGGACCTACTAAATATTGATTATTTAATTTAATGTGTCATATTTCAAAATGAACTTTTTATGTTTACAATAAAAATAATGGG